TGGAACATTCAGTGAACCAACAAAGGTCTGGATGTCAATTGGATTACACAATTCTATATGCCCAGCAGAATACGTAGCAATCACACCAGCTCTCAACATCAGTGCAGAATCAACATTACGCAAAAATGCAATTGTACAAATGAAGTCATGGCGTGTCCACCTTAAGATGGAGGACGTTGACATACTACACTTTACCAATCATACTGACTGGAAGATTATTAAACCTGATCTAGTCGCGCATGACGGAACTATAGAATTCCGCTGTCAAGAGTTCAGTCCAGTAATTGCCGCTATTGGACGATTGTTTTATAATCCCCCAGTTCTCAAAGAAAACTTTTTTTATCTTGTTGGCAGCAACTGTGTTTACTTTACATTTTTCAATTGCACTCCGACAATTGAAAATAGTGTTAAGGCGTATTATGAGGGACTAGAAGCACGACTTGTCCCAGCAAGATTTAATCAGTTAGTTCTAAGACATGGTGACAAAATTCATGTCAAACTACGAGCTGAAGGAAACACTGAAAACTTGTGGTTCAATGAACCCAATGAATATAGGGTTTCTGTAGATGATGACTTTTTAAGGAGGAACAGACATGACTTTGAATTTGAACTTCTTCCTGAATTGCAGCAATATCCTCCAATTGTCATCAAATGTGAAATTGAGAAAAATGGAATTGATAGAGAGATAAAAACATTCAAGTTCCCACTGAATTCACCGAGAAAAAACAGAGTCTGTGATGCTGTAGCTGACGAAGACTTGTGCGGACTTGTGAAAAAGATTGAAGTGATTCCTTGTGATAGAAATGATTACGAGAAAAGTTTCACCGATAAGGGGATCTACAGCATTACTAAACCGAAAGGCTTGGCTTTGATATTAAACAACACCTTTAAAGGCACCAAGTATGAGCGAAAAGGGGCTGAGATAGATATGAAAAACATGACAACTCTTTGGCAGAAATTTGGATGCGAGTTATATGGAAATAAAACTTTCCCCAAACCTTGGGAAAGTGATAAAACTGGAGAAGAAATGTGGGATTTGCTTCGTGAAGTGAGTAAAGTTACAACAAAGTATAGCTTCATTGTGATAGTGATTATGACTCACGGCGGGATCCTCGATGAAAAACTGGTTTTTGAAGGCTGTGATCATAAAAGTGTGGAAGTTAAAGAAATCGAGAAAATGTTCTTCAACATCGAGAATGTAAACTTGCGCAACATTCCAAAGTTTTTCATTTTTCAATTTTGCCGGGGACTGAAAAAAGATAAAGGCACTATTGCAGCTGATGATAAACTGATAGAAACTCGCATGGAAATCTTCAGAAAAGCTAGCGTTCAAATAGATGGCGCTGAAAATTTGCCATCCTCTTCTGATATTTTTGTTGCATATCCTACACATGAAGAATATGCTGCTTTTCGAAATATCAAAAAAGGCTCCTGGTTCATTAATGCAATAACAAATGTCTTCATGCGCCAAGCAGCAAAGCACCATGTCGCTGATATGCTGACGACTGTAAATCAAGCGATGAAACAAAAAACAGCATCATGCAGTGAAAAAGATAAGACTGGCAATGTCATTAAATATGAAGTGAAAGCGATGAGTGAGCAGAAAACTAGCCTATCAAAACGTTTCTATCTCTTTCCAGGATTTCCGGAGTAACTAGACAACGTGTTCCACAATTTTCTGCTTTGATCATGAAAACATAATTTATAATATGCAAAAGAGCTTCAATCATGATTATTTTTAATTATAACGGATAGCATAGGTTTTACACATTTATTCCGGGTAGAGAGGAAAGCCGATAAGATGGCTTTGTACCACATGATCATTCCCGCATGGGATTCGAACCCAGAGAGATCCGGTGGCGAGCGTATTCCTAACGCTTAGCACGGCGCGCCACACCGCCGAGCAAATGTCTTGTCATATATATTTTCTGCTTCTGTATATCCATCCATATTTACTATATGAGAATAAACAAGCTTCAAACTTATTATTGAAAAACTAACTAATTACTTATTAATATACTTTTTGCCTTTTGACACATAATACCAGGCTCTAAACCAGGGGTTCCCAAATCAGGGGTCGCGACCCCAAATTGGGTCAGAGTGATAAGGAGGTAGGGTAGCAAACAGGTCATGGGGTCAGTGGGGTCACTGAGGTATGGTGGAGGATGGATGTACAAAACATCTAAGATTTGACAAACCATGTTAAATTTAGCAGTTTGTACCATGGCTTACTGTAAAACAGGCCCATAGGCATTGCTCTATGCTTATGCTATAGAAAATGTAGGTGCTTACTGTGACATCACTGTTTGGTTTTAGCTTATTTTACTTGATACCATCACATGACCAAACTCAAAAGTCCAGTGAAAGAAGCTTCAGAAGTTTCATGAAAAATATATATATTGACCTGAGGTCGCACTGGACACTTAAAAGTTGTCTTTGAGGTCGTCCTGAAAAAAGCTTGGGAACCCCTGCTCTAAACTCTGAGCCTACTTCATGTTGAGGAAACTTTTGTCTTTAGTCTATAATTCTGCACTTGTGGAATTCCTTTTCTTATTTAACTATTGAGAATGCTTATTCAGCTTCATACTTCATAGTTTTTGTTGAAGATTTTGACTTTTTTGGTTTTCTATTAGGGATTTTGACTCCTATCACAACCACGAAGCCTGAAATTTTGACTGCAAACAAATCACAATTTCATTACCTGATAGTCCAACTTTTAATTTACCCAGTGATAAAGGTTTTTATTATTTTATTTAAAATTTCTGCTTTATTAACTTTATATAACTCCTAATGAATTTTTATAAAATTTAAAAAGTTTGTAATTTTTTTCAATTTTCATTTAATTCAATGAAATTTTTTGTTACATCATAATTCGTAATTCTTTTTACATCACATCACACAAATAATTATTACAGCAGTAGCGTGTCATAGATGTTTTCCCGACCATTGACCCCGTGGAAATTTATTCTATACCTTTCTAATAATAAAATTTGTATTGAATTGCTACGAATATTCTTGATAATTTCTATCTTAGCACAGACAAATCTTTCTGTAAATGTCCGCGTGGTGTTGTAAATATATTACATTTTTGCGAATTAGGTGCGTTCCGGTTGTTATGATTTTCCCAGCTCATCACATGCCCCATGTTCCAATGTGGCCCATCTCCTACTTATCTTTGCGTTGATGTAACAGAAATCAGTTGTTTGTTTTTCCACCATACATAAAATGCACTTTGTGGATAAATAATGTAAAAATGGCGTTTCTGGGTCAAGGGAGGAGCTTGAACCAATACCGGTTATTGAAAAGCGACATCGTGATTGAGCCTGGCAGTCTAGTATTACACTATTCAGCTAGTTAAATGTGGATCTTAATCAAACAGTGAATAATAATGTTACTAATATTGAATGTTTTGTAACAGAAGTCGTGCTCGTTTTCAGTTTTTTTTAATCTGTCAAACGTTTTAACAGCTTCCCTATCCACTACATTTCTTCAGTCAGTAGGTTTTTAGCTGTCGCCTGTAAAAGTGCCTGCATGAATGGAGCTTTGTTCGGACTCGAGATTTGAAAACGCTCCACGACGAGGAGAAATGCACGACACTGACGCTAGAATGCCACTCAATGTCGCGCTATTCGCTTTTCAATAATTGAAATGATCCAAACAGAAAAGGGTTGCAGAACAGATGATGTATCTATCACAAACACAAAATTTTTATGAAGTATTTTTGTACTGAAATACATTATTTGTATTAGAAAACCTGAAATGATCTCGGTCGATCAGATTTGGTCCTTTTTAATGTTAGTCTTGCACCACTATGCAGGGGTATTTGACAGTTCCAAGTCAATTATCTAATATAGCGTTTCTTAAACTTTTCTGGCCGGAAACATATAAGCATTTTATCTCGTTTCGCGGAACACCAAGAAATAAGAAGGTAGAAGTGATAATAAATTGTGTAATAAATTTACTTTGTGCATCAATGTGCACAACAGGCTATCACTATGTCTTTCGAATGTAAACTTGACAATTATCAAAAAATAGGCCGACGGATAGGGATACTGAATAGTTGACAAAAAGGTACTCCCGAAGTATGTGAACCAAGTTGGCGGACACCGAAACGTAGTATGTGTACCAGGTTACGCCATAATTTTATTTTTTTCTATTTTAGTTCTATTAAGAGTTCGGGTCTAGCCAAGTGACTCCTGTAGCATTTATACCTGAAATTATGGCCTAATCCTAACCTGGTTCCGGTGTCCGCCATCTTGATTCACATACTTCGGCAGTGCCGACAAAAATGCCAAGTCTTCCAGACTGGCTTCTAGTCTCAACTTCGACTTCTGACCAGGAAACACTTTGAGGAGGCTCGCGGAACCCTGATCTAATTAATTAATCATATGTTGTAATCTTGCAATCAATAGCCCAAATACGTTAAAGTACTTTCGTTTACGTACTCGCTGCGCATTTTAAAATAAAAGTATTATTATACATAATTAGTTTGAATTTGAACACAAGTCAAGAAGGGAGGCGCAATGGCAAATAAAAAATATGAAAAAGGTAACAAAATATTCTCGTGAAGCCCTTGATTCACTAACTTTTATTTCCACCCTCCTGTATTGAATCCATTGTTAGGGGTTTGTTCTCAAGCGATCTACGTCGATGGATACATCTAACTTGTTTTGCTAAGCTCTTCTTTTTCGACTCTTTATTTGGCCTGAAAGTCTTTTTCACCCAAGTTCAAAAGAATGACCATACCCTGGGTAAGATGGACATGGGGTAAGAATAAATCCAAGATCATTTATCTACACCAGGGCTTCCCATTTAGGCTCACAACCCATTCTAATATATTGAAATTTCGGATGAAATTGGTGTACTCCTTGCAACACCAAGCTTGGGAAGCCCTGATACCATAGTGAATCTGACCATCTTATTTTAAATCCGCATTTTTTTATACCTCCCTTGCCTTGAGCCTAAAAATGATTCTCACAAAACAAAAAAGAAAGAGTTAAACTTCATAGCCTGGCAGTAATTTAATGGCATGATTTTTTCAAATCAATCACAAGAAATTATTGTTGAACGTGTAACAGACTTGCAACAATGGTGCACGAGAGAGTCTATGAAAAATGAAATTAAGAACTGTGATAGCAGCGGGCATGTAGCTAGCTGGAGGATATAAACCAGGGATGGGCAAACTGCGGCTCATCAAAGCATTCTGTGCGACCCCTTGCCCGCGAGAAGTTGTGAAAATGAACTTCGATTTGGCAATTAATTTGTATCATTTGATATTTTTCCTTTTACTTTTTCCTTACTCCTCTTTGAAAATCTTTAATAAGGGATATTTTACATACTAAATCTTAACTTATTAGGATATGGTAACTATATGATATGGTTTAAAAAAAATAAGCACCCTTTCGCTAAAATATTTTCCGAATGCAGCCTATGCAACAACACCCACCCCTGGTATAATCCCTATCTTGAAGTTTAACATCAAAATTTCCAAAATTACTTTTGCACTGGCTCACAGGACAGCAATGACACAATTACAAATAAAAATGCAAATCAATAAAAAATGGAATTATTAAGTTCAAAGGTCAGAGTTCAAACATTGGCAAGGTAATTGAAAATCATGACGACCCTTTCAGGTATGTTTATTATCAATTGCAAAATGGACGATAATTGTAACACGCTTTGTGATTTCCTATTAAGAAAAAGATAATATAGAAATTTCACATTTTCTAAAATTATCTGGAATTATTAGTATTTGGCTGATGGTCAGACAGAAAAAAAAGTAATTTCCGACACTTTCGAATAACATGAAATCGGTCAGAGCAATGTTTATTAGGGGTTGCATTACTGAATTCAAGTTCCATCAAGAATTTCTGCAAATTTCTTTGTCAAACATGACCCAATTTGTTATATATCATTTCAAAATGTATTTAGAATTGTAATTATTTATTTTTAAACCCCCTGCCCTAACAACCAAATTAAAACTTGAAGCATCAGATCAATGTGATGGAATATGGACCTGGGTGAATGTTCAAGACTATAAAATAGCAGAATGAGACGTCCAGTGGTCCAATTTTATTAAATAAATTAAAAATGCCTGATTTATCTGGCTCTGGGTAGCCATCATTTTAAAATGCGTTGAAATCTGAATGTTGAACTCTGTCTGCAGTGTTTTGAATCAAGTTCATAGGCAGTTAATTGAACTATCTCAGTTGAGGGACGGTCTCTGAATCTTAATAATTCAGTGTGGAAGATTTACATCATCCCACCCATTCCTCCCATGCCCCCCATTCCGCCTCCCATACCACCCATAGGTGGCCCAGCTGATTCATCTTTCGGCTCTTCTGTGATGACAACTTCTGCAGTTGTCAATAACGACGCTACTCCTGATGCGTCAACAAGAGCTTGCTTGACTACTTTTGTCGGGTCAATGATGCCAGCTTCCATCATGTTACAATACCGGTCTTCACGGGCGTCGTACCCATAATCTCCTTCAGCTTGAAGTAATTTTTCTGCGATAAGTTGACCTTCCAATCCAGCATTGGAGCAGATAGTTGACGTAGGAATTCTGAGAATTTTCCTCACAATGTCGACCCCAATTTGTTCGTCCTTATTATCGACCTCAATATTTTCAAGTGAAGGCGAACAGCGGAGAAGAGCGATTCCACCTCCAGGAACAATACCTTCTTCGACAGCTGCTCGTGTTGCGTTGAGAGCATCTGTGACACGATCTTTCTTTTCATTGACTTCAACCTCGCTTGAACCACCTACTTTTAAGACGGCGACGCCACTGGCAAGTTTAGCAAGACGTTCATTCAATTTTTCACGCTCATAATCGCTTGTTGTGTCTTCAAGTTGTTCTTGAATTTGAGCGATCCTGCGTTCGATATCGTCCTGTTTCCCCGCTCCACGTAAAAACAAAGTATCATCTTTGGTAATTACAACTTCGCCAACTTTTCCTAAATCATGGACTTGAACATCTTCTAATTTTAATTCCATGGCTTCGTCACCGAAAATGATTCCTCCAGTAGCAATTGCCATATCTTTCAGCATATTCTTACGGTTGTCTCCAAAGCCTGGGGCTTTTACAGCAGCAATTTGTAAACCAACTTTCAAACGATTTACGACGAGGGTTGTAAGAGCTTCACCTTCAATATCTTCTGCAACTATAATGAGAGGTTTACGTTGAGCGTTTGCAAGTTCGAGCGCTGGTACAATGCTTTGAATAGAGGTTATTTTCTTCTCGCTTATCAACAAGAAAGCATCCTGGTACTCGACCTTTTGACCCTTCGCTGTGTTGATGAAATAAGGTGAAATATAACCTCGATCAAATTTCATGCCTTCAATAACATCCAACTCATCGTTCAAAGTTTTTCCATCTTTTACCGTTATGACGCCATTTCTGCCGACTTTTTTCATAGCTTCGGAAATGAGATCGCCAACCTCCTTATCACCGTTTGCGGAAATGGTTGCTACTTGCGCAATTTCTTCAGGTGTTGTCACAGGTCTGGATAATTCTTTTAATGCATCAGTGACTTTCACAACCGCTTTTTGAATACCTCGTCGAACATCGATTGGATTCGCACCTCTGTTAATTTTCTCCGAGCCTTCTTTCGCAATTGCTCTTGCGATTATCGTAGCAGTCGTAGTTCCATCACCCGCTTCGTCGTTGGTGTTACTTGCAACATCTTGTACAAGTTTTGCTCCAATATTCATCAATCTATCTTTGAATTCTATCGCTTTTGCGACAGTAACTCCATCTTTGGTTACTTTTGGCCCTCCCCACGCCTGCTCAATAATAACATTACGACCTTTAGGTCCCATTGTAACTGCTACAGCATCCGCAAGTTTGTCAACCCCAGCCAACATTTCCTCCCTTGCAGGTGAACCAAAAGAGACAATCTTTGCGTAGCCACGAACTGCAACCATCTGGCTTGCTGGCTGGGCAACTTTTCGCACCAATTGTGGAACTCTGTGCATTTTTATATTTCTTGTTTTCAGATTATTAAATTTAATGAAAGCTGGAAGTGCAGGTCTACGTTAACCTGGTCAAAACTAGAACTGTAATAAATAACAAGTAAATACTGAAAGTTTAATCATTAAATAACAACTGTTGGACAAAATTATGATACATCTCGCTTGTAAAAAAATTTGATCAAGGTCGTTTTTTTCAGCGTAACATCATTCACAATCAGAATTACTTATATGTAGTTGCCAGAATATTCTCATCCTAATGGGCAAATATATAAATGCTATTTCTGCTTGATTTCACTTCAGGCGGTTTGCAAACAATTTTCATAAAATATTATAAAATCTGAGGTATCAATGGTCTTAAATTGAACAGATGTACGATCTAGCATACCATAAATCCCAAAAACTGCAGGGTCGAGGCAGCTAAAATCGTGTCATATGCAATCTGATGCATTTCAGGACTTTAGTTTATTACAATTTAAATCAATAAAACTTGAACCGGAATAATTAAGTTCAAAATCACATAGGCAGCTAATGGGAAACTTTTATTTATTTATTTCCCTCTTATTTTATTTATTATATATCGACTATTCGAATTTGAAAAAAGTATCTGAGTACCGAAAATTGAGATAATAAATAGGGTGGCTTACCCACTTTGCAACCACGACCTATTTGCGACCATCAACTTCATCAATTAAATTAATGCCAAAAAAACTAACGAACCGCAACGATATTTCTCACACGTCATCGTCCACTTATCCCCTGTAGCTCTGCGAAATTACACTAAAATGCGGCCACAAACAAAAAAGTAGCGACCGAAAACCTGACCGAAAAAAAAAACGGACCATTTTTCTATGTCGCCAACTACCCATTGTCCCTGAAAAAAGCTTGAAAAACCATACAAATAAAAGAGATAAAAAGATGAAACTTGGCAGGTGGGTAGAGTTGTGTTTCTTTTAACCATCTTTAAAGTTTCGCGTTTCTACATTTAAAGGAGGGGGAATTGGAGGGTGCGCATTTCCAATACGTCGATAATATCTTTGTCGACCAATTTGTGACCACCATGTTTTTTTTTTTTGATTGCTGTGATGCGGTGCTTTGTTTATAATTTGACGAGTTTTGTTCGAAATAACCGTGTTCTTAAAATATATGACGGTCAAAAATGCAATTAGAAGGCCACTTTTTTCACACATGGCTGCGTATGCCCTAGTCTCGACGCAGCAGAAACGATGTTCAAGGCTTGAAATCCGTGGTCGCACACTGGTCGTTCGGTCGCAAATATGTCTTCAGAGTGTCGTACTTTTGTGGTTTGTATAGCTTTAACCCCTGGTCTTAAAAAGGTAATTCGAGGTTTAGCGTGTAGATTAAATGCCAATGCACCTACGATGCAAAAATTAACAGGTTAAAAATATTGGTTTTTCAGTTTTATATCGGTTTGAATGAAATCGTCCGCAGACTGGCTACACCACCCTATCAGCAAATTCTATTATATTTACAGCACCTCATTAGGTTGAAAAATTTTAGGGTATGATTCAGATATTTTTGCAGGCTAAAAGACACTTTAAATGAGGTGAGTTGTGGTGAATAAACAAATAAATTGGAAAATTGTGACAAACCAATAATTAGAAAAAAAACTATTGATGTTAAGGCAGCAATAAAACTGCAAAAAAATTGTTACTAATCATTTGATACAGAAAGGTGGTTTATTAATGATTTATTAACATAAGATAATTTCTTTAAGCACCTTAAATTCTTAAATTGGTGACACAAGACAAAAATGTTAAAAATACACAATGAGTTACAATCAAATTATTTTTTCTGCATTTGTAACATTTAATGATCAATGTTTTTGGTTTCAATTTACTTCAATAAGACATTCATCACACACAGACTCTGCATTATTTCAGAATTTCTAGCATCAAATTATTTTTGAATACAGACAGTACGGTATCGTAAGGGCAGTACTGCAGTACCAGACTGGATTCCATGGCAGGTGCACGCCCGAGGGCGCTAGCGCTCCGCAAAAATGCACGCGAGCGAAATCAATTTTGCACGCCGAAAATTTGCAATTGCTCACCAATGTAAATCGGTTTAAATGGTTTTAAAATCAATAATCCAGTAATATAAAGATGCCAAAATATTATAACTCCACAATTGTCGACAAATACCAGCCTGCAAGATTTGGTCTGATCGAAATATTGCGAAGCAAAAAAACCATGGACCTTTTCCCAACATTTGACCCGCGAAAAATTCCTCTCATTGTTACGTCCTTTTTTGCATCTTGCTGATTGGTCAATGTCACGAAGTAAACAAGGAAGTCGATGCTCGGGGAAAGGTCCATATCGTGTTGAATGATAGGAAATAGGTATCCCGTGAGAATAGTTATGGACGAAAAGATCGCCTCCGCACCAATGGCCAAGTACGGCTCTGATTCAGCGTATTTTTCATACAACAATTTTACTCGAATGTACTGAACAGTACCGGTATCTAAAGTTGCTCAAACACTCCCAAAATTAGTGACAAAGTATGAAAATAATGTTTGGGGTCAAAGGTCAAACGTCCATTTTGCTCTAATTTGACGTATTTTTTATCCATTAATTCTACGTAAAAACACTACCAAAATTAATGACAAAGTATGTCCATTTTGCTCTGGTTCAACGTATTTTTTATCCAATAATTTTACGCGGATGTACTGAACAGTACCGGTATCCAAAGTCGCACAAACACTCTCAAAATTAGCGACAAACTGTAGAAATAATGTTTGGGGTCAAAGGTCAAACGTCCATTTTTTCTCTGATTCAACGTATTTTTTATCCGATACCGGTAATTTTACGCGGATGTATTGAGAGGTATCTGATGTCAAAGTCAGTTGCACGCGAGTGCAGTTGTTTTGCACGTCGTGAGCTATAATTGCACGCCAGGAATTCTTATTTGCAGGCGGGAATTTCTGATTGCACGCCCGATTTCTCGTTCAAAAGGGCCATGAAATCCAGACTGGCTGCAGTAGTCAATTCCTTGAGAAATAAAAATATTTGGCTTCAGCACTTTGCAGAAACCTCAGAAACAATCCTGCGATCAAGACTCCTCTCCACAGTTCAGCAGTATGAACACTTAACTCCAGAACTCAGTGAAGAGTTACCGATACCATACTTCAATCAATCAATTTTATCTGGCCACTCTGATAGAAACAAAACACAAAACAACAACGAACGGACAAACAAAATACAAAGGAATAATTTGCTGCTTTCACTATTCTAAACGTTTTATACATTGGTTTGTTTTGAGCAAACGTAACTACAAATATCTTACAGTAATAACGTTAAATAGCTTTCTAACCAAATACCTCATTCCGACATCAAGATATTCTCGATCACAAATCGCAGCAGCAATAAAAGAAACGCTTTCTGAAAACAACCGACTGTGTGACTGCGCGCGAGACAGACACGACGGAAGGTCGATCGATTGCACAACCGGCGATCACACGAGCACGCGTTTCTTTTGCAGAAAAATCCAGAAACAGGCGTGGATGCATCCAGGCGTATCGAACTCTTGCGTCGCCTCGTGGCAATTCTGCGTAAGGTTTCACATCATATTTATTCAGGAGATCGTAGGGAAGTCGATAAACCTGAATAATTATATGGCAAACCATGGAATTTCGTCCGGCTATCAGTTCGAATCAATTATAGAAATAAGTAACTAGGTATTTTTCAATCAGCTTGGTAATATCTCTTTTTAAAGGTGCCGCTGATCGATAACCAGTATTGGTTACTCGCGTCTCCTTCACCCTGAAATATGGCCTATTTATAATTTAATTTATTGCAATTTGTATGTTTGTGCCTGTTTTAAGTATGGTGAGGAATAAACTACTGATTGAGGAATATTTTTCTCTGCACAGCATATCCCTCTTGTTGACTAAATCGGTATCCAATTTGGCAATCCTCATAAAATTATTAATTCGGTGTGGCGAATAAATTTAGTCATTTTTTACTCGTTTGTATATTTTTTTTTTTACTAAGTAATTGAATTTATGTCTCGCTTTTTCGCTTCCGATCTTATCATGTCTCGGTGATTGTGCGTGTGTGTGTATGTGTGCGTGCATGCCTTAATTAGTTTTCACACTTTTGGGAGAGCGAACACGTACTACTTCCTTTATCTATAACTTCCCACCTAAAATCTGTACGCTTTATACCTTACTTGAGGTTTCGTTTGCTTCCCCGATTCTATAATCAGTTTTATGTACGCTTTAAGCTTACTTGAGGTTTCGTTTGCTTTCCCGATTCTATAATCAGTTTTATGTACGCTTTAAGCTTACTTGAGGTTTCGTTTGCTTTCCCGATTCTATAATCAGTTTTATTTATTTTGTTTTTATCAATTTTTTTTATCGTCTATTATGCTGATTATTAAGCAAAAACGACTCTATTGTGTTTAGCAGTTCATGAACATGGTTACCGGATTACAGATGTATATACGCGCATGTTGGAAGACCGTAACCTACTAGTGGCGAGTACGAAATGTTCTGAGGACGTTTAGCTATAATTTATTAAAATACAAACGGCTTTACCTCAATACCTTAAAATTCCATAACATATCTGCAACCTCCCAATGGGGATATCAATTGTTTGTTTTATTGCTTTTTTTAATGACAAAACTGGTCAAAATCTTAGTCTAATTGTCTGATTCGCAAACAGTGGGATTAGATCAGGGTTGGGCAAATTACGGCACGTGGAGTGTTTCATCCGGCCCACTTGTGCCCGCTGAAGTTATACGACTATAGTTTTTGGAAATATAAATAAATATATAGCGTACCGCAAAATAAATAATATCTCACGCAAAATCCACACCTGGATGTAATTTACAAATTTTCGCACTGGCGGGTCGCGAAGCATTTCCAAATGTTACATACAATTTTCAACAAGATCAAGAAATTGTGGCATTGTTATCACATAACAATAACACTTATGACGCAATTTAACAGTTGTTGAATTCGGGTAAACAGTAGCCAGTAAACCGGTTTATGTAGTCGTTAATTTTATGTCCAATGAGTTCCATTTTGAATACTGAGTAGATCAGGGTTAATATACTTTATTAAAACACCCTAACTTTGTTTAATTTTTGTAAGAAACAAATTGGATAATTTTTAAACAGAAAAGGTAACGAAGTAGAAAATCTCAATAGATTACAGTGAAAAACTTTGATTCGGATTACGTCAAGTGTGGTTTCATTGAGGCAGGAAATGACTTCAAAATCACAATATGTTGAGTGTCAATGCTACGTTGGCCATGAGCCCCTATCAATCATCCACTTGATCTGCTAATATCAAATATACAAGCTTAAATTTTGCATCAATAGTATATTGCATTTGGATACCTTGTATCTTTTTACTTATCGATCTTAAGATCGGTAAGTATATTGATAGGTATTTGTCTGTATGTATGTCTGTATGTATGTGTGTATGTCTGTCTGTCTGTTAGATGCACGCGATATCTCACGAAGGCGTGGTTGAATCTGCTCCAAATTTTGCATGTGCATTCATCATATCTCGGACCAGAAGCCTATTGATTTTGTATGAATTATGTCGTATAATTAGCGAGTTATTAATTAATTAGTGATGAAGAGATCTGGATTTTCACAAATCGAGAGATTTTCGAGACGCGCTGAATGTGTGTGTGCGTATCAGATGCGCAAGTTTTCACGCTACTGAGTCAGAGCGAAGGATACACACCGCTAGATCGTATCTCGTGATTAATCTTTGAGCAATGTCCATATCCCTAAATCAGGTTCGGGGTTGCAGAATTCCTCACCAAAATATCGCTAGGCTGTGTTTGAATAGCCGTCGCAACCTGGGTTAGCGCCGTTGTAATTAACACAAACTATAGGATTGGTAAATACAGAAATAGGCTATTGGCTGGAAACTAATCGAAACAATCCAGTTCGGATTTGCAGAATTCTTCATAAAAGTATTTCCTCGAGTAGTATTTCGACGACATGGGGAGTTGGCTATTGTTTCCTACATTTCTGATATTGGCTGAAAACTAATCAAAACAATCCAGTTCGGGTTTGCAGAATTTTTCGAATTGAAACCGCAGTTTCTGTTTTGGGGATCCCCTAACTTTCGATCGATAAGTCTTCGGTCTCTGACCGATATTCTCGTCTAATATATTAACACCCCATTGTGAGTGACAAAGAAAAAATGGCGATACAAGTGGGTCACGAAGTGGAAAAGGTTAGGAAGCACCGCAATATATATTTGTTGTACATAAGCTGTTACGATATTTTTTGCAAATAAACTGTTTCCATTCATGGGCTCTTCATATCGAGCATCCGGCCCAGTAAGCAATCTATCATCTGGAACTAGCCCACCCCTGGATTAGATAGTTGAAAATAAGAACTAGGCGGCTGGTTTATTAGGGTTAGGAAACAAGCCTGGCATTGCACCTCCGTATGAATACCCACAGTTCGCAAGCTTGAATCGCAAGTTAGGATCGAGGTGGGATGTACCGGTAGTTATGTTAGGGTGGTTCGCGTCACCGCTGGTCGGTTATGGCTTCCTTCACTATGAAGCCTATGCTCCAGAAAACAAATATTTAACTAATCCCATATCCGACATGGAATGGTAACGGACGGGAGGCCGTGGTTCGTTATAAGGTTAGGATAGGATTTACATATTTATCCCGGTGGAGGGGAAAGCCGATAAGACGGCTCAACCATATGGCGAACCACGGGCTCTCGTCCGATTACCAGTCCATGCCGGGTATGGGATTAGTTTTAGTTATCGGACCAGCGGTAACGTGAACCACCCTACGACTGCGAGGAGTCCAGCTATCCTCTCGCATATAACTAAGCCATATTATCCCTTTGCTATCTCCCGGGATAAATATTTAGATCCTCACACATTCCAATCATGCTTAGCATGACATCCTGGTTACATCATTGTCCTAGACATAGAGGCCGATCCAAACTATTATTGGAAGTCCGTAAAACCGCACAAAAGTAGGTCTCCCGAAGTTGATTAAGGTCAGGTTTTATGCAGACTGAAATATATTTACCCGTAATATATGGCAACCGTTAGTTAGGGTCAAATGTCACCTCACCAGAATTTATTTTATGTCGTCCTGTGCTGTGTCAGTGTTTGAACCGTAATGCTTTTGTTACCGCACCGTAGTATAATTGAAAGATTATTTCGACTCCATAGTAAGCATAACATGTGACAAGCACAATATTGTATAAATGTGCTTGCCATATCATGCCTGATGAAGTTTTTCTGAATAGAAATTTGAAACATCGGCAAATTAAATCGTTTTGCTAACACCAGTTACCGGTACCCGGTACTGAGTTATGCTTTATTTATCATCGATATGAATGTAGCTGGCTGCCTGGTGGCAACCATGCGCTATGTGATGAAATTATGTCTACCAATAAAACTAATATTATTTCCAAATTTGTACAAACACAGAAATAATAACTTGGACAAATCAGACTACACAACTAACACAGATTAAATACTAAAATAATGACAACGGATACTGTACTGGTACCAGCACATATTGGCTGTTAAAGAATTATTCAATATTTGAACTTATCTTTATAAGAAGTTGCTGAAAATTAAAAATTGATATTTTTGCAGAAACAGAAATAAAGTTTGCAAAGTTATAAACCTAGGAACCTTGTATTGTTTATGTCAGAGAACCAAAATAAATGATTGATTGAAATGGAGAAAATACCTGACTGGTAACTTTCACAATCCGCACTCTGACTGGAGTCCTGAAAGTTGAGACCAGAAAAACTCGGAAAATTTGCATACTGAAGCAATATCGGTACAAAAATAACTGACATTGTTATTTGTTATCATGATTATGGTAATGTGTTCCTTGTCTGTACCAGTATCGTTAGTGGGGGCAGGATGAAAGGAATATATTTATAAATTCATATACCATTGGAATAAAGTCCTGTACTACTAAATCTCATGGACTGCAATACTAGGATTTACTCATCTGAGGCCTATACAGACCTAGCAAGAGAAGAACCTTCATACAGGAAATTGTAAGAACCGGTAAGTTTTTTATTAATTTTAAGATCCATAGGCAAAAACATTTCACTAACAAAGTAATTTTTTTGATATAGGCTATTCTGTAAAACAGTACGGTACCAGGTAACCTACGGTATGCTTTTATGATACATAATTAAATACTAATTAAGTTACTATTCAAAGAGTAGGGAGGGTTATTCCGACATTTGCCAGATTTTTGGTATGAAAAGTTGTGTAACAAAACGAAGTATTATTATAGGTTTGAAGGCTTCTCTTTATCAATCAGCTGATAAACTAACGGTATATGGAAATATTGACTAGTGAAACTTGAGCAATGCTAACAGAATTAGTAACAGACAAACAGTATTGATGAGGGGAGGCGAACAACTCACCATCACCAGAGACAACTCGACTACAGAGAGGCCTGGTGAGTTGTCCGTCTTTTCGCATTTTCTACGGCGGTGTTTTAGGTCTATGGAAATTGCGAAGCAATCGCTCTGTGACGAGTTGTCTCTGGTGAGTTGTCCGTGTAGTCGAGTTGTTCGTCAGCCTTGATGAGTTACCCATTTAGTAAGGAATATTATATTTAGCGAAATATAGGTATATGTATTGAATATATGTTTATAAAGGTATAGTTAGGTGTTAAGATTATAGCCGTTTAAAACATAAAATTACAAAATAGTAAAAAAATTTCAAAAAAGGTTAAGATTGATTCAGCGTTTGAAGTTTTAAGTTTAGTTAAAAATCAGTAGTCTATAAGTATTCGATGCTTTGGGGAAAGTCAAGGCTCACAGCTGACTGGGTAAGTGCTAGCAGTATTGAGAATAAGTAATAAGCTCCTATTCTAGTTGTAGATTGAGATTCTAACATAATATTTTAAATGTAGTATAAATAGGCTACCAAAAGCTGTGTTATCGTGTATTAGTATTCAATTAAAATGATTGTCAGATAAAGTAAAGTTTTGAATATGGAAGTTAGATGGCTAAGTTCAGAATTAGAAAAAATTCATTCTCAATTCTAATTCAATTGAGTTGAATGGTAATCTACTTGTATATCTTTAAACTCGAAGAGGAACCTACTATTATGATAAGAACGAACTTACAGAGCTGTATCAGAACAGAATTACTGAAAGCAACTAATTACAGGTGAGCATGGGCATTATATGTTTTGACTAATGCAGGATTAATTAGGGTCATAAGATTTAGAATTGAGTAGTTGTTTTGCTAGGTCGCAATTTTTATTAATACAGCAGTTGAAGGCAGCAGCCACGAGATATGATTACCTATCACACACATCAGTTCGTTTCGTATGACTAATGTTAATTTTGCCAAATTTATTTCATATGGTTTTTACTTCATATGAGAGCAACTGAGCAATGCATGCCATGATATATATAGAGGACTTGCACGGGTCACGTGACTTTGTTTACTAAACGTCCAGCTGGCTCCTGTCAGTTGCAAGTCGGATTATACGTTTCCGTTTTGTTTGACTGTTGATTGTGTTGAAAATGGTTATTTCGTCCAGAAGTCATCTCGCTTGTGTTTCACTGTTTGCGGACAGCACTTCGTTGATGGTGAGTGATAATGTGCCGCTATCAATTTCTTTAAATATTCATAAGCTCCCTCATTTCAATGGAGAGCAGATGACAAACTATATTGACAATAAGGTATTGTTTCCCTGGTTAACTGGTAATCTATTACTAAGTGTGAAAAGTTGAATAGATATCTAAAGTTTAACGCCAGTCCATGCTCCTGAAAGCAAATAACTGGCTAACTAATCCCGACATAGAATGGTAATCGACGATGTTGCAGCTGCAATCCTTCTCCAGATAAATCCCATGGTGATCAGAGAAGCGGAAGCGAGCGTATTCCTAGATGGCGAATTCAATTGAATTCTGTTTATTTTTTGCATGAGGACTGGCGTTGAACTTTAGTTATCTATCTAACTTTTCACACTTAGTAATAGATTACCAGTTAACTAGAGGAACAATACCTTATAGCAATTGATGATTAATTCCCTACATAAGTCAAGTCTACAAGTAGACAAGCAAGTAGGCCTACGGCTAGGCCTACCAACAACAGTAGTTTGTCATCTGCTTTCCATTGAAATGAGAGAGCTTATGAATATTTGAAGAAATTGATAACGGCACATTATCACTCACCATCAAGGAAGTGCTGTCCGCAAACAGTGAAACACAAGAGAGATGACTTCTGGACTTGACACCAAGCAGTCCTGCCAATAGATGATACGAAATAACTATTTTCAACAGCCAAACAAAACGGAAACGTATAATCCGACTTGCAACTGACAGGAGCCAGCTGGACGTTTTTGTTTTTTTGCCGTCCAGTAAACAAAGTCACGTGACCCGTCACCCGTGCAAGTCCTCTATAGCTTGTTTGTGTCTGAGAAACTAGGATCCTATGACATTGATGCATTTTCCATTATGGTACAAGGACAAAATTAGTATATGTGTTATATTTTCCATTCAAGCGTTGCAGATCTATTCAGATGATTTGCATGATAATATGCACTGTCATAGAAAATACTGCGCTTAACCGCTGCCAGACGAAGGATGGTCAATGCCTAATAATCTACTTTTGTGTTACATTCTTTATAATATGGAATATATAAATTATTTTTAAAATTTGATACAAATGAACTTTGATTAAATATTGTTTTAGGTAATGCATTCACAGGCCTAAACTTTCTTTTTAGTCATTCACATTTAGTCATAATCCTGTTCACAGCATGTCATTGTAAGGCAGCTTTCTAAAACCGAATACTCATTGCTGATTGCTGCAGAAAATATCCAATTCATCATTTTCAACTGTAGTCAAGTTTAGTTTGATCGATTCCCTATTTTCATATCCTTTTATTTTTCAGTGAGAAAGCATTTCTCTCATCTGCTATGAAGATGGACAGTTGGACACCAGTCGAAAATGACAACGTCCTCATCAAGATTGTTGTACGAATAAATAGATCCAGAAAAACTGCTCTGACATGCCGCAACATCATTCATCATCAATATCATTTAACTGTATTTCACAGATCTTTAAACAACCTGAGAATACGTGTATATTAATTATTAAATGCTAATTACAAACTTATGTCACAGGGTTTTGTGGAGAATTTTTTTTCGATTGATTTTTTTTGGCAGTGGTTTGTGGTATGATTATGCTTACTTCTTACACTCTTGACCGAATATGAAAGTCCTATATTTTTCAGTGGCACAGAGGGCAAAGTTTTGTTTTTGTATTTTTCCATTGTGGTAATTTTCTTACTATAGTATATAAAACAAGTCTTGACGTGAACATTGCACTATATTGGCAGTGCGCTAGGAGGAGGCCATCATATAGCGATTTGGACCATATTACTACACACACCTAATCTAGCTAGTGTGGTGAAGCATTACCTGAACATGGCTTTCTACAATAGGTTTTTATACTTTTAACCACTGCGAATATCACGCAATTAGTATGGCATGTATTTGGAGGTCGTTGAGCTTGAATGGCAGTGTAGTCGCCTAAAAAAAAAATCAAACCTGACGTTCTGAAGGGCAGTCTAATATGTCTTCTACTAAGGAGGCCGTTCAGATAAATGTTGGGAACCTGTAACCCTCCCTATATCTAATTTTGAGTAACAAAATGTAGATTGTAATACTTCTAACGTAACCACTGAACAATATGTAAACAAGATGTTTTCAACATTCTACATAAAACAAGTCCATTTTACGATATATGCTGTGTAAGTAACCTCGACAATTGATCAGTTAACTCGCGGTCAATCTTCAATTTTATATGTTATTTAGATCAATTTGAATGTGCAAACTTGATAATAAATTAAAACATTGATATTTGCCGACCGCTGAGAAGTGAATTTGACCTTTTTTTGAAGTTTGATAGGCGTCATTCCAATTATCCAATAAATACACTGCGTGAAACGAAGAAAAGCACGCACATAACCGTGGACGTGCTGCTTCTAAGGATTGATGCTCTTATTTCATTCCGTGGTAGAGCCAACGGCGATCCTGGAGTTTGCGTACCAAGATGGCGGATACCGCCACCGGAACGTAGATGTGAACCAGGTTACGTCATGATTTTAGGTACAAATATCTTTTATAGGAATCATTCCCATATCCGATGCATAGAAGAAGAATGGGCGCTCAAGAAGTGTGTTACTTGACGAATTCCCGAACTCGTGTCGTAGTAGGAATAAATTTAATAAAGTACCACGTTTGGGTATCCGGGTCATCCCGTAGTACGTACGGACTTTACTGGCGGGTGAGTCGTAAACGGAGGTGAACCAACAACGTAGCAAAACGAGCTATGTCGATTCAGGCGCGTCCAGGGTTTTCAAAAGGAGAGTGGGGTCAAAATATTTATTTATCGACTCGATATTCCCACGAAACAGCTTCGTATGGTGTTGTTTCTGTTGTGCAAGTATTCAGTTCACAACCCGTACGAGCGTATTCAAATGTCATGCTGTAATGATTTAATTGTGTTCCACGTAACCTCCGGTTGTACCGACTACGACAAAAATTACTAGTATAAAATACCCCGACAATCCGAGTAAAATGTTAACAAAATTTGTTGTGTATACAACTAAACACAACTACTATAAAATACCACATAGAACGTGTAAATGCGTGGTATACTGCCCGATTTTATACAGGTTTGATTCGAATTTTTGCGAATTTGTTAAATTTGAGCTGTTCCGTCGCAGTGCCGTGGCTCAAAATGAAACATTGTGAATAGTAAATTATATTTTTATGGTAATAATTCGATAAAAGGATAGATTGAGCGTAAATTTGAATGTTTCAACTTTGGTGACTACGGTATAGCTTCAAAGGCAAATAAGTACAAAGTGTGCGATGAGCACAAGAAAGTTTAGCGATTCACAGAGTCTAAAATAGTGTTTTTATATCTGTCGCGCGCTCTTGAAAAACAATATGCTGTCGCGGGGATTGCAAAACAAAATTAACAAAATTCATGGTGTTTTCAGTTAAATTTTAGTATTTTCTAACGCCCTTTTCAATCTTTGTATTAATCACTGTATTGTAAGCCAGTATGTGTGTCGCGGATTATATACTTTAGTTTTCTTTGACGTCCGGTCCCCAATGATCAGATATTAGTTGGGGCGTTGTTTACACGGGACACATAGATCCACGAGAAAAAACGGCCATCGACCTACTCGTGAAACAAGGAGTACATATACAGCGAATACAGAAAGATACTTCTGGGACAGAGCGACTTGCAGAAATATGATTTATATAAAAGTTGTATATATATAAAATTCCGACCAGCCGAAATAACTATGTCTCGCTGGCGAAAACAATCGGCGATATTAACAAAACAAATAGCCCAGTGAAAATCGAAAGCATTATTAGTGGCCTTTTTAATTTTCCAAAACTCAATAGGGGGGTTAGACTTCGCCTCTTGTCCACACGCAGATACCCTTTGAATCGTGAAGTGTGCTAGTGGAACACTGTTTGTGTACAAGAGTATACCTACTGGTTGCATAGTTGCGACTACTTGCACTTGTAGATCAATATCTTATTCCAAAGTAAAAACCTCGGTAGGTAGTAGTTGAGATACACCTGACTGACTTGTGTTTTATAGAAATCATGACATAAAAGACCATGACGACTTACTTGTGTAGCGAACCATGGCCTTTTGAACAGTTCGAATATGAAAATAATAAGTAGTTATTTCTTGGATTTGGCTGTTCGAATGAGCCGTGTCCGTCTGGCGGCGGCGTGTAGCACTCGTATAGAAACATGTTTATTTTCATGTAAAAGATCTCATTAGGTAATAGCTGACACAAGTCTTTAATTAATAAATTACAGTAATTCAAGTTCAACACTGCCAAAGAAACAGCTGGGTAGAGATGACATTGATTGAATGATTGGGAAAACTCAGAAGAGAAATTTTGTTTGACAAGCGCAGTGTTTGGACGAAAGCTGATAATATACTAATACCACTTTATACTAATTTATATGCTTGATTGTGAAATACAATTCAAGATATCTATAAATATATTGGGTGACGCCATATTTCCTGATTGTATATATATTTCACAAGCATAAAGCTAATGTTGGACCAATCTCATTTAACACTAAAATTGGATTTCCATCACCTATAACTATTTTTGACTGATTCCTCAAATTTGAATTGAACGCCTGAAACATTGTTTTCATGCTATTTTGAGTTCATTCCAAACCCGAATGATTTTTGGAAATTGAGTTCAACAATCAGCACGTTTTCATTCTAATTTGAGTCCATCTTAAAATGAATAATTCCGTATTATTGGATTCATCATAAAAACCCACCATCTACCTTTCTGAAATATTAAGTTTATGCCCAATCCACGACACTGACACACGTGTGTTTCATAGTTCAAAACCTTACACTTTATAAACCCATACATTTAATATGTCTTGTTTATTAGGTTCTTATTATGAGCAATTAAAGAAAAACGTTCAACTGAAAAAAATCATCAAACTTTATGTACAATAAAACCAATCAAAAAACTTACTCACACATTCAATTATATACATGAAATACGTATTAAAAATTAAATATGATGGGAATAATGTTTGTAAAGCATAAGTCGTGATTTAATGTTCATATAAATACACGAAAGAAATCCCGAACAAAATGATCAAACCTACGTACGTACGTATGGTGATTGGTGACCAACGTGCCATGTCGAAGATTACTACCAATGCCGTATTACACTGCTTATATTCAATAAGCTTTGTTCATTATTATAACAAGCAATCAAAGAACAACATTAAATAACAAGATCATAAATTTTTATACATATGAATCAATCAAAATATTATTATATACGACAGCTAAACATCGCAACAAATTTTCCAAAAACGAATTATCAAAGATACTCTACAGAGATAATACATTAGAATGCTGCACTCTACAGAAAAACCGTTGATCGATAATCGAGCATGGTTCTCCTCGTAAGGGCTTTAACGTTTTGATTTGAAAAATGGACATTTGACATGTATAAGACGAGAAATAAACCAACCGTGCGACCAACAATAGTTATAAAAATAAAGGCGATGGATAAAGCGTAGACTTAGTTTGTTAGCATCGCAGATTACATATATCGGGTTAAAATATCATACTTCCACCACGCCCAGGTGTTATGAAGTGGGTAGGCAATGCCGAACCGAAAAGATTTTGATACTCTCGCAAGGTATAACAAATTGTTATATATATCAGAGGCTTCTTGTATATGGCCTTGTTCTGAGAAAACGGGAGAATAAGCGTCGTATAAAAACATGTATAAATCAAATCTGGTGAAACCAAATTAGCCTAAATATTGCACCCAAATCACTCATGTAAAGTATTGTGTCAGATATTATAAAATATGTACCAATTAGGACAATTAAATTGACAGAATAATATTCACCGACGAGTGTAAAGACATGTGGACGAATGCGTTCCCGGCGTTCATTGCTAAAGGCGATACGCATGAGATGAGGACGGATATAATTTATTTTCATATCATTGAAATCGGTGCTCCAGTAATGTGTGTACCAATATGGAGGTAACTAATTTTGTTTGCCCACTTTTCATCAATTTGTGTAAAGGGACTGAAACCTAGGGGCAGGGGATATATTCATTTGGCTAACACTGACATCCCCGACTCATAATAGAACTAAAATAAGAAAATCGGAATCAAATAATTGTCAGTCCTAACCTGGTACACATACTACGGGAGTACCTTGAAATCTCCGTGAAATAATAACACTCAAATCGGAATTGTTTTGAAACTCTTTATTAATTGATCTTGGCGTTAGATTTCTAGTCTTGAGGTTTACGCCCAATTATGGATGGGTCATGAATGATTGATATCTAAAGTCGAAATTTGGCAGAATCTCTGAATACACGATTCTTAGTCAATCAACTTTACGTAATTCCAAGGAATTAAGCCTCGTTGCCCGTTGCAGGTTCCCATCCACCATTGTTCACTTGGAAACTCAATATTTGTGATGATGTCTCCATCCCGAAAGCTTATTTCGTCATCGTCTTCTAAAAGTAAATAAAACACGGATAGAACTGCTGCTTTCTACAGTTTGTGCCAATCTAATTTGATAATAAGAATATGATTGTGTGGTAATAATAAGTTTCCTTGAGAGAGCTTTCATTTTAACATAGCATGTATAGATCGTTACTGGCCGCGACTGCCGCAATAGAAACGTAGATGGATGGCATCGGCGCTCCCGTAGTAGGTACATTAAAAAGATGACGCACAACCTAAACCCTGACCAGGTACACATACTATGTTCAGGTTTTTCGCCATCTTGGTGCACATACTTCTGGAGCACCCTATTTTTATATATGTGGACAATGTGGTCTAAAACATGAGGCAAAAGCCTTAGTAAAAATAGTATATGTAGTTCGAGAAAAATGTAAATATTTTAATAAATGTATATGGAAAAACTGCAAGACTCACTTTTGTCATAGTCGAAAAGTGCTCGTGCTTTCTTTTTTGCTGCGGGAGTAGCCTTTTGTGCATCAGGTGAACCTATGATTAAAGATTTACATATTCGGCCATCGATATAATTTGAAATTGTTCGAGTAACAGTATTTAAAACAGGAGTTTCACTGTCTGTGTGGTGTGGAAGTCTATCTCTATTTCAAATTTAGGGAACTTCCTGTGGTCATTTATATATGTCCAGTCAAAATAATGACTTTACCGCTGAGTTTACGTTTCATCCTACCCATACGTGAAAGTGAATGTCTTTTAGGATGTACGGTGTGTACGTTACAAACGAATCGGCGGGGTCTTTTTCAGTGGTATTACTTTGTCATGGCTTTATTAATTGCA